TGATTAACCGTGAGTGTGAACGTTTCAAACTACGCTCTTTAACGGACGATCAGTTTAAGTGTCTCATTTTCGTCAGCGCTCTACAATCGCCCAGTGATGCTGAGATCCGAACGCGGCTTTTAGCTAAGCTGGAGCAGGATCCTGACCTGACACTGAAGGCCCTCGTAAGCGAATGCAAACGACTGCTCACTCTAAAACACGACACTGCCATGGTCGAACGAAATGGTCTCGCACCGCCAGATACCGTGCAACTCGTGAAAAAGGCCAGGACCGCCAACGCAAGCAAACCCTTCAAGAGGCCTACGAACAAACTGCCCACAGCATGCTGGTCATGCGGCGAATGGCATTTCGCCCGCTTTTGTTCCTTCAAATATCATATTTGTCAAACGTGCCATATGCGTGGGCATAAAGAGAAATTCTGCAGTCAGGTCCGGTCGAAGAAGGTGCAGAAGTCTTATTGAAAGGGGAATTCTAGAAAGGATGGCTCGGAGTCTCTGTCCATAGTTGCCGCATTCCAAAGCCAGTGTAAACCGAGGCGACGATCCATCCCTGTGTTAATCAATGGGATCCCAACGAAGCTGCAATTTGACACGGCGTCGGACATCACGATTATTTCCAAGAGCACATGGAACCACATAAAGAGGCCGAAGATGGTCGAGTCTCAGAAAGTTGCACATAATGCATCCGGCGGTGTGTTAAACTTAGGGGGCGAACTCAATTGCAAGATTGCTTTTCAAGGTGTGCTCAAGGCGGGAACATGTTACATTTCAGACAGGCCCAATTTGAATCTTCTTGGCCTCGACTGGATCGAATAGTTGAATCTCCTCGATGTTACCTTGAATCAGATCTGCAACCGAGTTCGAGCACGTCCAGACCCATCATCAAAGTCCGTCTACAACATGACACGTACCCTGAAACGAAAATTTGCTTCTGTCTTTCAGGATGGATGGATGGGAATACGAGGTAAGTTCCCGAGGTCAGGAGCTTTATTTTACGGAAATGCTACAAACACGAAAATGGTATCGAAATAACTACAAGTGGCTTAAGCGACATGTGCAAGTGTATAGAAGAGAGTATAATTGGGCATTTATATGGGAAAGAAAAGCATTAGAGCGAAATTGAAAACCCACTACCTGAAATAAATAGACTTAGGATGCACGCACGCGGTTAGTAAATCGAATGCAGCGTACCTACAAACGCTGCGCCGGTTCTGCCTACGTTCTCTGCAGAACCCGTCGTCGCTTCGGTAGTAGTCTCGAGTGGCCTCGCTCATGGCTTATTAGGCCTGCCTGACTCAGGCACTCGCGACCACATTTGCTACAGCACCATGCACTCGTTGTCGATGAACTACAATCCATCGGTGCTTGCCGCTTCCCGAACTTGCCGCTTCTTCTCTGCATGCATGAGGTCTTTCTCTCGCAGTTCAGCAACTTTCTTCGTGATGAGATGGCGCCATACGCGACGATCAACCGCTTTCGATTCCCATGACCTGCAATCAAGGTTAGAACGTGTGAGGCTCACTTTGATCATGTCCTGGTAACGTAACTTTGGTTTCCCCACGTGCCGCTTCCCAATACTCTGCTGACCGTATAAGAGTTGTTTCGGTATCCAAGTCGAATCCATGCGCCACACACGACCAAGCCATCTCAGGTGTCTCAGTAAAAGTATGCAGTCCACTGCATACATCCCACTTCGGCGCAACACTTCCGTGTCTGCGACTCTGGCGCCCCAACCGATACGCAAAATCTGTCGCAGACACTGCTGATGGAACAGCTCGAGATATCACACATCTTGACGGTACATCGTCCACGTTTCACTGCCGTATAGAAGAACGGACAGTACCATGGATTGGTACTCCATCAGCTTTGTGCCAATGCTAAGCTGATGGTTGTTCCACACTCGGTACTCAAGCTTCCCGAATGCTGCCGCTGCCTTCGACATGCGGATACGCAGCTCACTGTGCTTCTGCTAAGCAGTCGATATCCCACTCCCAAGGTAGCAGTAGCGGGATGTGGTTTCCAATACTTTAGCACCAATGCTGATTCGCGGCAATATTGAAGATTGCACCTCCGGTGAAGGCTGAAAGAGACAGACAGTTTTGCTTGTGTTGATGGTGAGCGCGAATTTGGCCGCTGTCGAAACCAGAGCACTAGTCATGTTCTGCAACTCATCCGCGCTGTGTGGCTACAACGCACGGTCGTCAGTAAACAGCAGCATACGGATAGTTGTCTCACAGACTAGAGCTCTCGCACCGAAACGACGGATGTTCAGCAACCCACCATCAATGCGGTGCTCCACACGAACACCGTAAGCACAAGCGGCATCAAAAGCACGAAACAGCATTGCATGAAGCTAACTAGTAAACAGAGGCAGGAGGTAAGACACAACTTTGCTTCACACCAGAGACAACTGCGAAGTCATCCGAGGTCTCTCCACTCAGCTGCACACTCGCTCGCATACCAATGTGCAGATATTCAATTAAACTTAAAAATTTAACACGGGAAACCAAACTTACCCAACACCAGCTACAATGCCTCGCGGTTCACCGTATCAAATGAATTGGTGAAATCAACAAAAAGCGAGTATAATGGCTGGTGTCGTTCTCTGCACTGCTCCTGCAACTGACGAGCAACAAGCACCATATCTATGGTGCTGTGACCCGAACGGAATCCACATTGCTCTTCCGCCACGTTAGGTTCCACAACCTGACTAACGAGGCGGTTGAGCAGGATTCAGGCAAAAACCTTGCCCACACAACTCAGCAAGTTGATGCCACGATAATCCGTGCAACATTGCTTGCTCAATTTGCCCTTGGACAGTGGTAGCACAAGGGCATCCTTCAGCTCAGGAGGCACCTCCTTCTCAATCCATACACGTTGCTCCAGGTGGTGCAGCGCAGCCAACATCGCGAGTCCGCCGTGTTTCAATACTTCCGGCGGGATCCCGTCGGCTCCGGCACATTTGCCGTTTCGCAGCTGAGCAAGTGCTCTTTGCATCCCATCCAGTCTCAGCGTGTCCGCCAGATTCGTCTTCACATCGTGCTGCCTCAGGCAGTTCTATGTTGGCCAGTCGATCTCTGAACGGTTGTTCAAGATACAGTCAAAGTGTTTTCGCCAGATCTGCATTATGTCTGCAGTCTGTGTGCAGGCAGCGCCTGAACTACCATCGAGCAGTGTCCTCAGCGGCTCCAATCTTGGTCCATACACCGCCTTCAAGGAGTCAAAGAACTCCTTGTGTTGGCGACTTTCGGCGTAGGATTACATCTGCTTCACCTTCTCCGTCCACCATGCATTTTTAGTGCGATGGAGCTCTCGGGTCAATTGCCGTCGTAGTTTAATAAACTGACTATTCTTCCCCAAGTCACTGGGATCTGAAACATGTGCAGCAAATGCTGCATTCTTCTCCGACACCATTGCACCGATCGTCGCATTGTTCTCATCAAACCAATCAGGCCGCTTACAGTTTGCGCGCCTGATGGTCTCCTCGGCAGCAGCTGTCACCTGGTCGCAAATGTGGTGCCACAGGTCGCCCATTTTGTCTATGCCTTTCACATCACACAGGCGTGCAGCCATCGCCTTCTCCAGCTTAGTACGTTTCGTCGCAGTACTGAGCGAGAGAATGTTAAATTTACGCCGATTCACAGCGGGAGTGCAATACACAGATTTATAAAAATATATATAACGTTTGATCCGAACCAACTTGTGATCAGTGCCACATTCAGCTCCACGCAGTACACGTGTCATGCGCACTTCACGCATATCACGCTGACGTACGATGACATAGTCGAACAGATGAGCGTGACCACTCCGTGGGTGCGTCTAAGTTGCTCTATAACTCGCACTCAGTGTAAACCGAGTGTTCGTGATCGTCAGGCCATGCGTAGTAGACAGTGAGAACAGCCTGTCACCGTTCGCATTCGCTGAACCAATGCCATGCGCACCGATAACACCTGTCCACGCTGATGCTTCACGCCCAGCGCGCGTTTTGAAATCACCCGGCAGAAATAGTCGGTCGCTCCTCGGCACAGATCGTATCACGGAAGATAGCTGAGTGTAGAAATGATCAAGCGTGTCATCAGGATAACACATGGTCGGACCGTACATGCTTATAAAGGTCGCAAACTTAACTCTCCCACTTCGTAGGCGAACAGTCATCAGTCGCGCGCTGATGCCCGTTGGTTCACCCACCAGCTGGCCATGAAGGCGATCGGATATTGCAAATCCGACCCCATGTTCATGTTGTCTTGAGGCGGCGTCGCCCACCCAGTAGTATGTGTAGCCAGCACCTGCTTCATGCAACTTTCCTTGCTCAGCGAGCCGAGTTTCAATGAGCGCCGCAATATCGATGTGGTAGCGCGCCAGCTCCATCGCGACCAGTGCAGTGCGTCGCTCCGGGCGCTCGCTCGAGTTCCGGTCCAGTAGTGTGCGCACGTTCCAGCACCTGATGCTGAGTGCTTTGCGCGCAGGCATACGATTGCATTGGTGGGCAATCGCACGCGAGGTGGTCGTTGTGCCTCGGAGGTTTGCTTGAGGGACTCCACCCGGAGCCTTTGGCTCAACATCCTGACCCACAAGGCAGTGGGTGGTTTGGAGGTTTGCTTGAGGGACTGCGCCTCTATGTAAACCCATACGCACATTCACTGTCACGCCAAACATCTATTTTGTACATTTTTATCACGCTATGTTAGCTTAACATGATTCTGCTTGTAAAGTTGTGTCTCACATTGTCGAGCATAAAAGTTTACTTAGAAAGTACACGTAGACTGTCCAGTACACTAAGTTTAACAGCTTTGCACCACTTCTGTTTAAAATGAACCTTATACACACTCTGCTGCGCCCAATGAAATTATCAGTCAAGTTCATCTTCCAATGCTGTCACGCGCAATACTTGGATTCATTTGCTCATTCAGACAGAATGCCATCATTACACCCACCCCAAATACTGTAATCGGTCTTGTAGACCAGGCTTTCTAGCAAGTTATTGCATGTGGTTGCTAGCACTTAGTATGTTGAGCAAAATATGCACGAACGATGTATAAGGAGAATGTAATAATTGGCCAGCTCCTCCAAAACGTCGACGCGTTGGCTGGAGTTCAACATCTCATGAGATGACTCCTCGGCACTGACAGTATGATCCGCGGTGTTGGCGGCTGACAGTCAGTCTGAGGTATGTGGCCACCAGCGATTTTGGTAGGGCTGTTATGGGTGACACTCATCGCCCGACCCCAGATCGGGGGTTACCACAATGAGGTGAGCCGCAATTTGCTTGACAATGACAAGCGAAAAGGGGAGTGGCCACTGGACTCCCTCCCTAGCTCATCAACTAAAGTTTACTAGGCAATGGGAAGGTCGCTTAGGTCTTGATAAATCAAGGCATAAACTAACGCACTTGGATTTCATACAGGGCTTAACCTTCACAAATATCGAAACCTATCAACTGAATAATCTGGACTCAGATATTTTGCGTTGTCTCATTAGCAGTTTATAGAATATTTCACTAATTAACGTTGAACGCAGTGGTAAAACTAGATGGAGTTACTCGATTTCCTTAGCATGACAAGGCGAAAGTGATCTGCTTACACAAATTGAGTTTCAGCCGACGAATTGCTGAAGCCTTTGCAGACAGAAGCAGACGAGCAGCCCTTTGTCAATTACTAATACTAATATAAAATGCTTTGTGCACCTACGGCATTTATCGGGGCCATAAAAATTGATTTCACATCACCAGTCTCCCAAATTTGATCTCCTACAACGGTTGAAGTCAACTCAATTAGTTCTTTTGGAAATTCCTTTACAAATACATGTACGTATCTGAGAGTTTATGTCTCCAGTTACAATTTGTACAATCTGTACCGAACAACTTCGGACAAAAGCCCATCATCTTCTCATTACTGTTCCTTCATCCGTTTTTGATTATTTCTCTCCTAACAATGCTGGCCACTACTGAGCCGATCTTCTGAGGTGATGGATAAATACTTCCAAAAATGCAGTACCCTCATGAAATGCGAGTTGTTACGAACTAACTGGTGAATATTAAAAGTGCTAGACTCGAATTAGCTAAATGATGGCTGTGTGAGAACTGAGAACTGAGAACTGGTGCGAAGCAGCGAGTAGAGGTTGCTCTGTGTAGCTGCATCATTCGTCGTTTTCGGACATGAACTTTTTATTAACGTTTCGCTCTCTGTACTTTGCCTCTGCAAATTGTTGGTCTAGTAGCATCTTAAATTTAGACACGGTGTTCGCTTCTACTATATGCTGAGGCAGGTCAAGAGATGGGGAAAGCTTAACATATTTCACAGGTCCGCACACAAATTTATACATATTTATGTATACTGTGTCAGCATGATGATGACAAAATTGCAAGTGGTAACAGCCAACAAGAAAAAAACGAGTCAAACATACATTGGATACCTGTATTAAGCCACAACAGCACATAGCCAGATGAGAAGTGTAAGTGAAGTGTGGAAGCAGTGTGGAAGCATGGAGAAAGTTCCATGGAGGGTCTTATTACTTTAGTTGAACTGTCGGCTAAAACAACTTTTATTCCTACTTACAACTTCTCCATATTTTATTGCTTTTAAATGAGTGAGCACCACAAACACTTTAATGAGAACATAACAGAACTTGAAAAGTCCTTCCACTATCCAACTTTGTTGTATCAATGATCAGGCTGATATTTTGCCTGCGGCTTGCATGTCGAGATATATACCGTTTATTTATTTATCCCGAATGATTCCCACGGATGTTAAAATGTATGGCAAACAAATGTGTGCCGGGCGATAGAGCTAGCGAGCATCTTAAGGCAATTTGTCACCAGGTTATATGAAACATATTCTGAAATCACCATGGACAGCCTTCTCTCAGTTCGGCCTACCTGCTTGTTACCGTAAGTACAAGGAAAGGTGGATGCAAATGGCGATAAGTTTAGAGTCAGGCCTGTCCAAATTAGACTTGCAAAGGAAGGCTTTTAACTTAGTACAACAGAATTGCTCGACAGCATAAGAGGCTATCTTATGGACTGACTCGCAGGATATTTTAATGGCCTTTCAGTTTGGTCGACTTTGTATGGTAGCTTGATAAATACATTCTTGGGGAAGCCATTCATAATTACCATAAATTTTTGAGTTTGAATAGCGCACTGGAAACCACTGGAAACCTGATTTTCGTAGTATTGTTGAAACGCTTTGCAAATCCCTGTCAGCAATCAATGGAACAATGGTTTTATAGGGGTAAGAGGTGTAATTTAATGAACAATGAAAAATGATTTATCAAGCGATAAAAGCAAGTGCTTGACACGTTCCGTAGGATGGTTGGGGTGAATCTGAGGAAATCAAAATGTATGTGGGTCATCTACCGAACGTCCCATCATCATTATTATACACGTCAGTTAGAGGTGGGAAACACCTCAGCTACTGCGCCGCAATACATAAAGGAGAAAAGAAAAATAAATACAAAAGTTGCATGCTAGCTGAGCTACCAGCAACGGATAGGCATCGTTCCGGTAAGCTACCAGCCAGCTACTAGGCAAAAAGAAAAATTTGTATGTTGTGCGCTACGAAATGAGATCGTAGGTGGAGGGGGAGGATTAAAGGGATGGGGAGGGACAAAAACCTCACAGCAGGAGCCCCACTGAGGTCGGCTCCTTGCCATGTCAGCAAGTGTATCCAGCCAAACGTGTTCATCATCTTTCGGACCCCAACCAGGGAGCCATGACCCTCCAACCGAGGCCAGCTCCGAAGTGAGGGCCTTCATTCCTCTGGACCAAGTCATCGCTTGGCCACCCCTCCTCCTCTTTCATCCACATCCGCAGTGAGCAAACAACGCACGTCGAGGGAGTCGGTGGGCTGGCATGCGCAACATGTGGCCGAGCCATCGGAGTCTGATGCATGAAATGACTGCGCTGAGCAGTTCAGTTCCTTCACCTGTGCCGTAAACAAGGCGTCGAACATTGCTCGTTACTCACGCGGTGTTCCCACCAGATGTAAGCCAAAATGCAAAGGCCCCGATGGTCGAATGTAACTAGCCTCTTCATGTCGGCCGATCTTAGGTGCCAGGTATCGTAACCGTACAGTAAGGTCGAACGTGCCGCTGCATTGTACACTCTAAACTTCAGGGCAAGAGTGATGTCGCGCCGGCGCCATAGGTGGCGAAGGTTAGCAAAGCGCCCCGAGCTTTTGCTATACGATTCATGATCTCGTCTTCGATCCCAAGGGCGCTGCTACAACTTCCTAGGTAGTTGAATTTCCGAACGACTTCTAGCTGATCCCCACCAAGGGTCAGCGCAGGAGGCGATCCAGGCTAATCTTGGAGAAAGGCTTTGCACTTCGATGGTGAGAAGCAAAGCCCGAAGCGGCTGACAGCCAGTGCTAATCTGTCCAGTGCCGCTTGGTACGTCTGGGAGCTGTCACAGATGAAGGCAATGTCGTCTGCATACTCTGAGTCAGGAAGTCGTTCTCCTGGGAGTAGCTCCACACCTTCCAAGTCATGTCCTGTAAATGCAAACTCCATGGCTTCGTCAATATCGAAGTTGAAAAGGAAAGGTGACCGCGGGCATCCTTGTATCACACCGCTGGAGATATTAAAGGGCGACGACAACTTGCCGTAAGCCCTGTGCTAAGCACGTACAATGCTCAGATAAGATTTACATATTTCTCGAGCACACTTTTCCTGAGTAGACAGTTCCAAACGGCACGTCGATCAAACAATTCGAAGGCACCTTTGATGTCAAGGAACACGACTACGGTGGGCCGCCAATATGTGTGGCGTTGCTCTAACAACTGACGCAAGGTGAATATGTGGTCGATGCAGCCACGACCACGACGAAACCCGGCTTGCTCCTCACGAATCTGGCTTTCACAAGCGCCAGTCAGTCTGTGAAGAAGTATGGAGGCGAGTAATTTGGAGGCGATGGAGATCAGACTGATTCCTCTATGGTTGCCGCATTCCGAGCGCGAGCCGCCTTTGAAGATGGGAACAATAACGGAGCGGCTCCAGTCGGTTGGGACGGTCTCCTGCTCCCACAGTTTCACTAGTAATTCATGTAAATCATCAACAAGAGCAAAGCCTCCAAATTTGAAGAGGGCTGAAAGAAGATCATCTGGTCCCGCGGCCTTGTTCAACTTCAACAGTCCGATCTCACGTTCGACTTCTGAGCGAGAGGGTGGATCCAAAGGGACAGCCCACGGAGCAGGGCGATCAATGGCCGGCAAGGAATCGAACAATTCTAGCCGATTAAATTGCTTTTCAAAATGCTCAACCCAACACTTCAAAGGTTTTGGCAAATTATGGATAGACTGTACACTCTCGTCACGTATAGTTTCACTAACACCAGGTCTCCTGTTGCCCGTTTCCCGTATCAAACGGAATAACTTACGATGGTTGCCAAGGGTAGCGGCCACCTCCATCTCTGACGCACGAACAGACCACCAAGATTCGCGGTCTCTCTTCAGGCCAGCACGGAGTTTTGCCCAGAGTGCTTTGCGAGTTTCACTGTGTTCGCTTCCAGCCGGGATATGCCGGCGAGCGTTGATAAGTTCCAGAGACCGAGAAGAGACCCAATATCCATGTTGGCTATTAGACATACCACATGAGGATTTGCCTGATGCTAGTAAGGTCTGGTGAACATGCGACCAGTGACCTTCAATTGCCTCCAGTACGCGCTTACTCAACTCGCATGTCAGCGTACTTCGATATGCATTCAGAACAGCTGGCTTCGTTAGCTGGCTTGTGTCAATGCGCTCACAACGTCGTCGTGGGCTTCCGCCAAAACGCATCCGCAGGTCAGCACATACAAGTGCACGGTCGGTGTCCACACATGTGCTCCAAATCGAGCGACATTTCTGGATGCAGCTTCTCCAGCGTTAACTGATAGCAATGTGATCAATCTTCGTCCAAGGCTGCTGGGCGCCAAGTTACCCTCCGGCGAGTGCTGTGTCGGAAGTTAGTGTTCACACAAATGAAGTAACCGCTCACTGTTATCATTACAGGAACCTATACCGTGCTGACTGCTCAGATGCATTTCATCAGTGGACAACTTTCCAACTTGTGCGTTCAGATCCCCAGCCAGCACAACAGTGTCCGAGCTTCTTCTGTGGCGAAGGAGCTCGTTCAGTTGGCGGTAAAAGTCTTTCTTTGCCGAAGCATCGCTACA